CTGTGTCCATTTAGAGTTGTGACAGCAAATTCCCACTGAAGAATTTCCCAGACCTGTGTAAGTCTGATGATCCTGGACTTAATTCACATCAGATTTATCTTTTGCTGTTAACAGCGTCACACTGGTGCACGCTAGTCAGGATGTTTCATTTAACCTGACAGTGGTGCTTTAGCTTGTGAAGGAAGCAACACCAGCAACTCAGAGCAGTGTCTGGCTGAGTTTCAAAGCGAGTAGATCCTATGTTACATACTTCCAGGCACTTTGTCTTGTTGCTTATTTCTAACACCACAGTGGGTCTGGTTACTGATCCCTGTAAGAGATTGTCTATCAAAACTTCAGATTTCTATAGCTTCTAGCCATTACAGCAACACTTATTACTGCAATTAATAATACCCTGGTACCAGTAAAAAACCAGTTTATGGATATGGAAGTCAGATGGTGAAGCAAGTCTGGTCCTGTGTGCTTCAAGTTGTCTGTAAAATTTCTATTAAGTCAGGTTACAAGAGGACCAGACCTGAAGCAAGAAGTAGCATACTGGAGAGGTTGCAAATTTCAGGAAGGCAACACGCAGCATTATATGTAGTTTTCCAGGCTTTAGTTGTTTTTGTATTGGATTTGTTGCATCATTTTAATTTTTTTCTCTCTAGTAGGAATTTTCTGTTTAAAGGAAGTTGCTCTTCTCTGTTCCTGACAATTTCAAATGCCTATGGCCAGGAGTCAGAGCAGACTGTGCACTTCAACACTGAAAGATGCTGAGCCATCACACAGCCATCATAAATTGTACAGTTTTTCTAGAGCACTTGGTGCTTTTCAAGTCAGTGTCTTCTTATATCAGCTGATCAGCATAATCAGTCTTGTTTTCACTTTTGCTGCATGGCTATTAGCACGTGGACTGTTGTGGGATTTCTTTCTGAGTGGATGCCCTGAGGTATCCTGGTTAGGCACCATGCCCTCCCTGGTTCCTGGACATTTCTTGGGCACCTCACTCTGCTATTGTCTGTGAATTCTTCAGGCAGGAGCTCTGGTTCCCTATTGGCTCAATATGTTGTCAGTTCCCATCAGGGCTTAATTTAATTTAGTCCTCACAGTGTTACTGTACTACAAGAGAGAAAATGGTGTGTATGATATCATCCACCTCCACAAATCAGCTCCTCTAATCAAAGACTCCACTACCAGTGACTTCTGAAAACTGGAAATTCTTGCAAACACAATAGAAATCTGCTTTCCATTCTTCCCTTATATTTTAAACACAAAGAGAATATCAAGAAAAGAAAGAAAAAACAAATTATTTATTTTCATGAGACACGTTCAATAGGTGTTTGGCACAATAAATTTAGTCACTCTGACAAAACAATTATTTTCCCATGGGCCTGACGAAAATGATTCATTTTCAAAATGACTGAAGGCTGAGCAGGGAGATAAAGAACCTGTTCACCCCTTAAGCCTGGTAAAAAGTGATCAGAGAGACTACAATATCACTTTCATTTTCTATCGCAATCCTCCAACTTCCATCCCAGTTTTAATCCTGCAGCTTTTCCAAAAGGATGTTGTCAGAAACATGTCACTGCCAATCAAGCTTTAACATTTATACTTTATGAATAACTGATATAATAGAATGATGGATATATGCAGTATAGTCAATATATAGACAAATTCCCAGTAGAAGATGTGTTGGAGGGATGTGTAATGGTATTTCTGTACTTTGCTTGTTCTCTTTCCTCCTGTAGTGTGCAGTTGCCACCTATTAATTAATTACTGCATTTGACAAATACATCCATTCTATAGCAGAATTGCATTGAATTGCTTTCCTTTTATCTTACTCTTCCTCTCCTAGATCACATTTGTGGCTAGTAAATTGGTTTCTTAAATTCAGTCTCTCATACTTTGGTCTTGAGTTAGCTTTCTTCTCTGCAGGATACCACTGTATACTGTATCTTCAAGTACCCAATTAATTAAATTAATTACAGGCAGTAGACCTGAACAAGGAAAGAAGCTTGATCCTTACAGCAGAAGGGAGCTGAAGATAAATAACTTAAAAGTATCAGGGTTTTGAAATACTGAGGTCTGTGAGCTGCCCACAGTCTGTTAAAAATGACCATTAAAGTTTTCATACAGTGATAGGAGTATGTCTTGTGTAGTCAAAAGCAATGCCAAGTCTGTACAAAACTTGCCTTAGCGCTTATTGTTTGCCTCATTCGTCTTATTGAGCTGATTTGGCTTGCCATTTTCAGAGTTTGTAGCAGAATTTATTTGAAGACCTCATTATAAGCACTACTGTCACCCGAGAGAAGAATGAAGATTTGCAGGGAAGAGAAGAAGGGAAAACAACTGCTGCAGAAAAGACTGCTAGTGGCAGCATCCTGAACAGCTCTCCTTGCTGCTCAGGCACCTTGCAGTGCTATGTCTGAGGAAGCAATGTTAACAAAGCACCTGTTGATATCCTGCACAGCAAAACTGGTGCCGTGTGCTATTCCTGCAAAGTCCATGGGACAGTGCAGGTGTCCGGGATTTATTTCTTCCGCTTCCCATCAGAACTGGGCTGCAGGTATTAATGTATACAATACTGATAGAATAGGCAACAGGAAGAAAGGCTTGGGGGAAGACTCTCATCACTTTTTTCTGAGAAATAAGCCAGGGTTTTGCTTGAGCGAAGCAAGAGTGCAGAAGGAGAGTATACTTGTCCATGAATATATCCAGATCCACAAAACTGGAATCATTTCTACCTTGCTCTATGTAAGCATGGTTGATGTCTCTTCTTGTGCTGGCAGAGAGTAATAAATAGTACATCCCTTTTCCTTTTGTCAGATCTAAAGTCTGTCCTCTCCATAGCTTCCCCTTCTTCAGTCTGTTTAAAAAAAAATAATATTTTAACAGAAATAAATTCTTCTGTAGAAAACTACAACAGAATGAGATATAGACACCTTTCTTGTAAGAAATTCTGACCCCAGAAAAGGAGAAAGAAGGAATCCATTTTTCTTCATCAGGATAAGGGCATAAGCTTCTCACATGTTTGCTCCTTCAGTTTTATAACAGAGAAATCAATGCACAAGCTATTGTTAACCAGAGACAAAAAATTAAGGCTATACGTGTTACCTGTAGTCTTGATACTTATATAAGATTATTTGATTTAAGCTATTCATTATAACTCTAACTATAAACTATTATGTTTTCTTTAAAATGCATGTATTTTATACATATCACTACATATAATATATAGTAATTTCCAATTTGATTTAAGAAGTTAGGGCTTCACAGATGTTTTTCTTCCATTATCATGAACCCTCCCTCTAGCTTGAAGGATGTGGTTTTTGTAGAAGCTTCTTTTTGGAGATCAGATATAGATTGGAAAGGTTGTGTATAGAAAATTTTGGTTTAAGGAAGTGGTATTAAAGATCAAGTATTTATTTTTTCAAGTTACTCTTACTATTTTTATTAATTAACTAGATTTCTCCCTTGTATTTTCTTATATGACTGTGATTAAATATGAGGTGCAGTTCAGTGAAGTGCCCTAAACATGAGTTCTAGAGGACAGTCACTACTGACTCCAGGGAAAGTCCTGACTACTGTAAAAGCCATATCCCAGATTTCATTCTTCCTTATTTTCGTCTCTGACATTGCAATTAAGATACACCCCTGTTTTTACAAATGCATTACACGAGGACTACAGACATTTAGCACCTTTAGTTAGGTGTCACCTCTGTCTGTCCTAATTTGTTTATAGAATTTCCCTCTACAAGAAGTATGAGTATCTTCTTTCCTTCTGCTCTGCCACAGTGTTGCTGAGTTCTCTTCTAAGAGTTTCATGGAAAAGGGATTTTCAAGCCATCTTCTCTTCTGAGAGCCAGGTGCCCATGGTTTCTGTGGATAGAATGAAGTCAGACAGATACCTTGAGCAAAGGAGAGCATGGGAGGGGTTGGGATTCATTGCTGCATGTGTGGAGCAGCTGAGTTGGAGTAGCTGAGTTAGAGGGTGGAAATATTTTTTACTACCCCAACCATGAGTTATTCTTCTATAAGGAAGAGGAAAATTCCAACTGGTTTTCAGTAATCTTTTATTGTGTTTATTTTTATTCAGCATTTCATTGCAAAACCTCTGTTTAGCACCATGCCTGGTTCTTGACTCTATTTCCACTGAGCTCAGCAGAAAGTGGGCATTTTTAAAACGGTGAGACTGGGAAGTCTCGGTGTTATTGATTTAGATTTAACATTGAGCACTGATAAAGACAGCTGAAATCAATCAATACTGAAGGAATTTGAAATACTGTAACTAAAAGCACTATCAGAAATCAGTTTATGCTCTCATGATAGTTTCAGACTATATGTAATAAGTTTTTTAAAATGCAAAGTGTATTATTTTGGATTATTGCATTATGTTATGGTGCTGGAATAAAATGTGAATTATTTAAACTCCTTTTTTAACTAACTGCTTCTAGTCTTTGTTGCATTTTTTAATATGTCACCATTAACATAGTTTTAAATAGAAGGAATAGAATTTCATTCTGTATGCCTTGAAGAAAACTGGAACAAGGAAAATGCATTGATTCTTTTTGTCTTGTGTGTGAACAAAAGGGTAGTTAGTATAACTAAGCTAAATAGATGTGTAGTCTGGTAATCCTGGAATTTCCCAATCTACTTCTTCCAAATCCTCCCTATAAAATGGAAAGTATTTCAAGCCAGAATGCTGTTTGCAATGTGAAAATAGAGGTGTGGAAAAAAAGGCAGAACTATTAACAAATAGTCTAAAACAGTGTTAATAATTTGAGTCCTTCTGAGATGTGTTATTTTATACAGCTTTCTACATTGATTTTTTTAATCAATGCTGTGTCAGTACAGTCAGCACATCTTGTCCTGCGGCACTAACTATATTTACCACCCAGTGGTGGGAAGAAGACAGCAGCCTACTGGTGTATCTGTAGTGAAACCAGAGAAAAATACTCGGCTTAAAGTGGGGAGCTGTGTGGCATTCTCACTGACCCTTATCATGATTCTTGGTGTTGCAGGATGGATGGTCACAGTATCACTTTGTAGCCTCATCTTCAACAATAGAAAGGGATCGGCAAAGACCATACTCCTCATCCCGCACTCCCTCCATCTCTCCTGTGCGCATGTCTCCAAACAACCGCTCAGGTAAGGCCAGCCAAAGCAAAGGCAGAGGTAATCAATCCATCAGCGTCATTTTCCCTAATATCTGGATTTGTTGTTAACTTAGGTGGAAGGGCACAAAGTGTATTCTTTACTGTCACCAAATAACCCGTTCAAAACAGGATTTTATTTTTTTTCATTAGCACCTGGTAAAGTTTTACAGAAGAAAGCTTATTCCATAATCTTTTGTCATAAATTCTCCCAAAGTGTTTTCTTGATGGGAATTACCTGACTAGATCTCAGGGAAATGATATCCATTGGTAGCACCAGGAAATTCTGTTGCTCACTTTGCTAGTCATGAAAGCCATTATGTGGTTTATGACCATTTTGCACATTCAGTAGAAGTTTAAAGCCCACATTACTTTTTTGTCAGCTTTTATTCTATGAATTTTATTATATGAATACATATGCATATGTAAGTTTCACAGATTTGTCTACACATCTTCCAGTAACATTGCCAGCATATTTACAACAGCTATTATCAATTCTGTATGATCTGCACAATGAAGTAATGTAAATAACAACTAACGTATGACGCATGTCATACAACTTAACTAATGACGTAGTGCAAATTAATTTTTCTATCTAGAAATCAGGTAATCTTTCCATCATTTTATTCCAAGGTAGAACACACCTTCATTCGGTAAAGCCATTCCCAATGAAATTTGTTAATTATCTAAAAGCTGCATCTTAGTCTTACAGAACCACAACTGAGGAGATGTGAAAATGTAACCAGAAGTGCAGTGAGAGCTGATATTCTGTTTTTAAAATCTGCCGTTACACAAGTCCATAAAGGGCTCTTGTTCCTTTTTTTTCTTCTCTAAAATCTCATCTTGACTGTAATTGCAAGGTACTTGAAATGTCTGGCCCTGAAATCCTAGTTCTCTTTCTTGCCAGAACCATCTTCTCACTTCTGTTACTCTAAATTTCGGATGAAATTTTACTGCCCTCATCAGTTATCATAAGACTGGAAAAACACAAATAACAGTAGCTGTAGAGCACATGTCATTATATACCAGTCAGCTCAATGTCAGTGTAGAAAATTGCTGGAAAAAATAATCAGAACCTGAGCAGCTCAAAGGTAGTAGGAACATAAGATGTTACTTAACTCTGAGAGTATCTTTCTATGTAACAATGTAAGTTGCTGTGTGTCTGGTAGTATCCATATCAAATGTAAACATTGATTCAATACAAATTGTCTTATTAAATCCATCTGAATTCCTGTTGCAACATATTCGAAGCACTTTGCAGAAATAAAATTCAGTAAGTACTATGATCAGTAAGACTCTTTCACACAACATTTTTATGGACAAGCTTAAGAAATGCTAGCCAACAGCTCAGAAAACATCCTGTGTTGTATAAATAAAAAACTTACTGAAAGCCATTCACAAGGGAAGGGCATTGTTTATTGCCAAAGTGGCAGAATGCTGTGCTTAGAGCCTAGCCTGGGTCCAGTACTCTTCAGTGGTTTCAGTAATTACCTGGGACCCAGGTAATACGCCAAAGTTACCTATTACCTTTGTGGGTGACATAAACCTGGGAGAAACTCATGTTCTTTGAAGGGCATTACTGAAACTCAAAGTGATCCTGAGAAATTTAAGGTAATATTCAAAGGGAAAAAAAATAACCTATCCTTTAAAAATAATTTATGAGGAGAATGTCTGACTAGATGAAAGTTCTTTAGAAATTATCTGTGAATTTTTGTCAGTTGCACACATGAATTGGAAGGTGGAAAAATTAAGATATGAGAATATGCTGAATGGACTGTAATTGTCTAACTCAAGTAAAAGAGACATGAAAAGGGGTACACACCAAGTCTTCAAGCATGTAACAGCCAGCTGTGAAGAGAAATGGAGTGAGCTTTTTCTGTTTTCATAGCAGACAAATGGAAATAATGAGCAGTGAGGAGTCAGACTAGACATCAGGGAACATTTCCTAGCAGTGGGGAAAGAAAGCACTGGAACGGACTGCTTGGAACAGTTACGTGATCCCTGTCATTAGAGATCTTTAGTTCCAGATTAAAATCTGTCCAGAACTATGTTGGTATACTGGATCCTACCTTGGGGTAAAGAGTTGAAGTAAATGAACTCACACCATCCCATCCATCCCTAGGACTGGGTGATAACAGTCTCAAACTATAGAGGGCTCTGTATTCTTCTTTTCTGTGTCCTTTAAGAAATAGAGCAGAAAAACATTATATCAATTTTCAGTTTACCAAAGTCTCCACCTTTGCTTCCAATAAAAACTCTGAGAGAGGGTGCTTCTGCATTTTAACTCACTTGCCAGAAGGTAGATTTCCTCTCTTGGGAAGAGCAAGGGAATTCCCACAGGGAACAGAGAGAGATGATTTTATGTATATTGGTCAATTTTGTTCAAAACACCAGAGTGCTTATAACCATTACCAGAGTATGTGAAACAAAATGTGTCTTTCTGCTAGCATCTTTTTCAAGGTTTGCATTCTGGCCTGCTCCCCATTAGACTCAAGCTGCCATTAGCTGATCTGGTAGCTTAACTGTCATGTTTCTTTATAGCTGTGGGATTATCAGCTTTAGATTTACATCACTATTGACAAACAGTTTAAAAGCAATCCCCAATTCTAATGGCTTCATAAGAAAGAACATCTGTTCCACATTTGCTCTGTAAATTCAGAGGCCAGGGCCCGCAAAACCAAGCAAAGCAGAATTCATCATCACTTGTGCTTCCCTTCTCCATAGCTGAGTGCAAGTACTTCACTATTTCTTAAGTAAAAAATGTAACATAGTTTAGAGATGCTGGAAGATATGTCTCAAGGCCAAGCTTCACAGAGAGTTTGTATTACATTTTTAAATTGCTTTCTTTTCCTTGTTTTTGAACAAAGACGTTGTTAATGCTTTTGAGCTTCTTTTTATATATCAGTTACCTGGGTGGAGGCAGGGAAGTGTGTAAAAAGAAATTTGACATTCAGAAATAAAATTATGTTTGCAGTTGATTGTCCAATAAATACATTTGCCTTGCTCTTGAAATAACAGCATCTCTTCCTCCATGATATGGTAGTGTTTCTTCAATCAGCTTAATATTAGAAAACTAACAGATAAGGACTTTACTGAAATGCTTACTCAAGAGTTAGACCCTACATTCAGTCATATATGATAAAAAAATAATAATCCATTTTTGTTATCTAGCAAGTGCCCCAGCCTCACCTCGGGAAATGATCAGCCTAAAAGAAAGAAAAACAGACTATGAGTCAACTGGAACTAATGCTACTTACCATGGAAGTAAGGGAGAACACACTTCTAGGAAAGACACCATGACAGGTGAGATTTTGTTCGCATAGCATATATAAAAATCAGCTGTGATAGAACACTGATTTTATAGGATTGGCTGGGCTTGCTGCACTGTGGAAAAAAGTCAACCTGCTTTGATTAATTCCCAAGTTTTAGCCACCTTGAGAAATACAACTGAAGATAAATTTGAATGAATACAACCCTATGTGAAAATGATATGTGAACACCATGGCTCTTCACAGAAGAAAGGCTCTGAATCCAATTTTGTATGTCTTTTTCAATGTTGCAGGTTTTTTTCATTTCAGAAGGAAGTTGGTTGATCACTTTGAATTAACTGGTATATTTGAGCATGTGCAATGATCCCTAACATCTGTCTTTTGCAGGGAATGCTCTCCAGGATCAGTTAACTTATTTTGTATGTCAGTATTCACGGGAAATTTTTGGCTCTTTGTAAAGTCTATCCATATTGCTTTCTCAGCTGGGCTGATTTAAATGCAGTGATTTTCTCTGTATGTTGTGGCATCTGTTGCAGGTTTCTTTGAAGGCCTCTCTTCTCCAGTGAGCTCATTAATCTCTTAGCCTTTCAGTAATTAGGAAATTTTGAGTGCTTTTCCCAATGCTGTATCTCTTCATGAATTCTCTTGCAAAATAAATGTTGGTCTCCATCACCATTGTACAGGCTTATATTATAACCATTATTGAACTTTTTGTCACATTTATATAGTGCCAAGCATCACAGTCTCCTCTTCTCCAAATGCTGCCTCAGAGCAGGCAAAAAAATCACAGTAAGAAGTCTGAACACCTGTTACCTTCTCTCATGTTCTCTGCAGAGGTCTTGGTCAGAGGCAGAATGGATTGCTTGCCAAGAACGTGGTGACTCAGCATCAATAAGATCCATCTTTCAAGATGGATCTTACTTCTTTCATATCCTATATTGTGGATATGAAGATATGCTGTTATCTACTATGTTATATATGATTATGCAATCAAAACCTAAAGACCAGCCTTGGAACTTGTGTGTAAATGCAATATAGAATGTTAATTAGCCTGAAGGTGAAAATCTGAAAAGAAGAATGACAGTCAAGAGTATTTGGAAACCACAGAAATTAGGAGTGTCCGGATTGACTTCTGTGGCATACTGCTGGAGAGTGCAGAAGATTCAGTCAAGGTACTGCATTTTGTGTAATGTTTTGAGTGTTTCATAGTCACTGCATGAGGTGGTTTTCTATAACAATTCAGTGGCCCTTACTTGGCTGATTGTGAAGGACAGGACTGAAGTTTTTTCAGCCATTTCTCAAGGACCCATAAAGAGTGAATCTCAGGAGTAAGAGCATCAGGCTGAAAAGGAAAAAGCAGTATCATTTTGACTTTGATTTTTACATTGTGTTTTCCTCTAATATTGTCTTATATTTTGTCTATTACTATTGATTATTTGGGTGGGCTTTTAGTAAGGAAACTTGAAACTCTTAGAATCATGCTCAGCTATCAACTGTCTTTCAAGCTCCTGATCTCAGTGAGGGAAAAAAAATCAAAAAATTCAGATGAAGAAGTGTAATATTTCATAATATTGCATGAGCAATGCACAAATAAATATGGAATTAACAAGTAACTTTCTCTCTTTCAGATCACCAAATCTCTGCACATTTGGTCTGAGCTCAAATTAAGCACCATTATAAGAACAAAAGAAAATGATAGAAGGAGTTTTGCTTGTCAGTGTTCAACATGGAATTTGTGTAACTTATTTGTAGCTTATTAAATAATAAATATTTTTTTAAAAAAAATACAAAATCGGTATTTGTGATTTTGTGAGGCATTTTGACTTAACTTGAGTGGCCCAATACAAGTTCATGTAGCAAGTTTCTTGTGATGCCTGCATTTCGTTTTGTGCATCAAACAGTGCATTGCAGCTGATACATCCACGTGGATGGGACTTACATGAATGTTTTCTCAGGTTCTACATGGCGTACACATATTTTGATCTGCTCTTCTACTTTTGTGCCAAGCTGATGTATTACACAAAGCTTTCTTTGACTTACGGATTTTACACAAAGCATAGGGCCACAGCTGTAGTCCCAATTTATCCATGACTGTCTCCATGCTCTTCTCCAAAGCTCTTCTCAGTTTATAGTTGAAAAATTTTATGACCTATGGGCTGGGAATGAAATTAAGGTTTTTTGGTGGCTTTTCAAAGTAGGAGTGTTGGCTTCCTGCCATCCTGAGGATCTTTCAGGAAACCTCTGGGGAAAATGGAGCATCTATGAAGTAAATAGTTTGGCTGAAGATGATAACTTACATTGATTTCATGAGGATAGCTAAAAAAATAGAGGCACTGTACCAAAGTTCTCATTGCCTTCTTCACAGGTTTATGATGCCTTTTATATTTACTGCCCATTTTCTCTTTTCTGTAGAAAATAATAACCAATAATAAAATTTTGTCACCTAAAGTGTATTTTTAAGACAAAAACTATTATATTCAGTTTAGGAAAATGGGAACTGTAAGTGCATGTGATGGTATTTATGGTGCTTTCCTTCAGAACAGGGCAGATAAGGTTCCTGTGTACCATCATGGGACTCCTTCTTTAAGGTTTCTTTTACTTTTTTAGTTCCCTCACTGAACTAATATGTAAATCATAGTCTACAGAAAGTGTCTTCTCTTCCAGCAGCAGAAAAAAACCTTCTGAATAATTTATTTTTTCCTTTGGTTGTAAAGAATCAGTCATGAATATTTTTGTTATTTAAACTTACTGGCAAGTCCCTGCATATTCAGAACACAAATAAAACACCATCAGATGTTACAGGTGCTTGGGCTTATTATTATTTCTGTTATTGTCATTATCATTAATATGATTACTACTACTTTCAGAAACTATAATGCTCTGTAATCTTTTCTCACACCCTTATCTCATTTTTCACTGTGCAAGAAGGTGGGAGTGGTAGTGACAGGTAATGATCTCTGCTACCTCAGATTTGTGATGTATGGAAGCATTTTCCTTTACTGTCTTGAACTAATTTTTTTTAAATGGAGACCTGCTGCTTGTAGCAGAAAAAGCAGTTTGTGCGATACCAGATGAGAATGACTACCTTCCAGCAGAGTTGCCCTTTCTTATTATCATTTTGTGTTTCTGACGGCAACTTGCATCTTGTTATTCCAAAGTGTCTGTAAATGTGTTCAGAATAAGTACTTCCAAGATCTGAAAACAGAATGTTAAACCACTGATTAAGTGACTGGGATATATGGGGATGAATTTGGTCGATGGCATCTTTGTCATGTAAACCACTGAGTAACATAATTTTTGATTTTTGTCATCTTAAAAGAAAACAGCTATGGGGAATGCTGTGACTTTTTTTAACCAGTATCACTTTGAAGACTGAACAGAAGGGAGAAAGAAAGGTGTTTTTCTATAATGTTCTTTATATAATTGAATCACAAAGTACTGCAGGTTGATCATAGTATTCATTTTAGAATGCTCACAATTTTGCTTGCCAGAAAGTGCCTCTTCGGTATTATCATGTACTGATGTTTAGAGGCTGCATAAAATATGCACATAAACACAAACAGTGATCACTGCTCTAATAATTTAATTTTCAGCTAGTTCTCACATCTCTGTGAAGAAATGTGGCTACAGAAATATGTCTCTTACTGCATTTACTCCTTTCTCTTCTCTTGCCATTTTATTTTATTTTATTTTATTTTATTTTATTTTGTTTTGTTTTGTTTTGTTTTGTTTTGTTTTGTTTTATTTTATCTTTCTATTTGTTTTACAGTTTTATGATGGTACATATACAGTATTATCAAGAAAAAATATATATTAACCACACAATATCTGTCCATTCATCTAGCTCATCTCCTTTCTTTTATATTTGTCCTCTGCTTTTTGGACAGCAAGAGTCAACTGCTCACTGAATCATGGCAGAGTGGGCATTGAATTCTCAGGGATACCACCTGCATGTTCAGAAGCAGGTACTGGAACAGGGCTGCATTTATTGCTAGCAGCTACATTGCTTGACTTATATTTCCTCCAGAATCATTATTAACTCAACCTCCAAGCTAGCCTAAGCCACGATTTCTTATTCTTTAACTCCTAGCATTTCTTTTCAAGCATTTTATGTCCCATTGTTTTTTATTGCTTTAAAAAAAGATTACTAAGGGTTTGAGGGGTTTTGTGTTTTGTTTTTCATTTTAAACTTTTGAATTTGTATCCCCATCACTGCAGTAAAATCAGCAACACAGAGCTTGCAACTATTTCCATCAGCTGAAACTATCCATTTTCCATTGCGGAGTATGTATTGTGTTGCGGAGAGACCATAAGACTTCAATCTGGTATGTGACATTTGTGAGCACATCAGTGCAAATGTCACAGTAGTGCACTGGACAGCTACACACCAACTCTGAACTATTTATAGGTTTATAATAGTCATGGATAATGGCAGCGCGTATGGACCACATGTGTTTTTATTTATCAGTATGGAAAGGTCATGACCTCCCTCTAATGTCTGATTGCCTGAAGGAACAAAATACAAATTAGCATGTGTCTGGTTTGCTATTCTTCATAATACCCTCGGATGTTGCACCTTGCACCAGTCTTTGACTCTTGACATTAAACAACCATGAACAGCATTGACTTGTCTGAACTTAGTATGTTCAGTCATGTCGGACTAGAAATTTGCATGCATGAAACTTAAAACCCACTTATCTTGGCACATATATTAATAAGAAACAAAATGGTTACAAGTTCTTCCTCTATCTATGACAGTCCAATACACTGAATGTCACTTTAATGTTTTTTCAAGAACTAGGACTTTGCAAAATGGATATCTGAAACACTTCTTGAGTTTCTTTAGATCTTGAGAAGAAGAATTTGAATAACAAAACTTCTGGCATTTTGTGGGACAGGCAAGAAAATTGGAAGAACAGCATTAAAAAGATGATATCAAGGAAAGATCTGGCAACTGTACTACTGAGAGTCATGTTGTCATGGGATGCACAATAAACAGCAATGTTGATGCAAACTTCTCTAGTACTAAAGACTCATCAGGAGAAGTATCTTTAAAGACTACAGCAGAGGCTGCAGTTGGAATATAAAGAAATGCACTGAAATAACAGTCAAGTCTCAAAAATCCCTTAAGTGACAAAATATAACCTAAATGCAGAGAACCTCTGCAGATCAACTCTTGCATTCAACTTTGCAGATCAACTTTGGCATTGACATTGACAACCAAAAAAAGCACTTCTCAAGCAGTACTCTCCATCATTTCAGCTGTTTCTCTGTTATGGCCTATTGGCATACAGGTAGAATTAAGAGTATCTACCACTGGAAGAGCCCAACCAGCATCTGTCACTAGAGTTCGTATTATTACCACCTTAAAAAAAATGGGTCATGCTGTACTTCAAGATCACCAGGGCTCTTCTCCATCTCCCACACGGGACTCTGCACTTTCTTAGTTATTGCATCCAGCTCTTCAAGGATCAAGAAGGGTTTCACCCATATCCGTTAATTGTTTTGAAGTGAAAAGTCTCTTTTTTCAGCTGTTAGAGCTCATCAAGCCACTATATAAGCCCTGTCTTTATCCCGTTTCCACAAATATGGTGCAGATCTTTAAGAAAGGCCATCTGAGATCTATAAAGCAGCATCATGGAGCAGTGCATCAAACTGACAAAAATTACACCCTCAGCATGGAACCCATGGCAGATGTGAAGATCCGAAATTATATATTCCAGTCAGCTTTGGCTGAAGGCCATGCCATTGCTTTCTCCAGAAGGGATGTAGTGGTGGGGGGAAGGTAGTGGAAGTTTTACATGCAGAGGTCCATGCTTGCATATTGCCAAAGGAAGAAAGAGTGCTTACATCTTCAGTAATATGGTTCTTCCTAGTGATATAACTAGCATGGATCTCATATCCAGCTTTCAGCTCTGATGCTCAGTGCTTGCCATCACAAGTTTTGAGCTGCAAAGGTACTAAAAGCCATTCTTGGTGCCTCCAGGTTTTATATGGTTACACACAGACCTGAGAGGAGTTGCGGGCCATGTTTCAGTTCCACTGATGGCGCTGATTTATAACTACTTAATTTTTACTTTCAGGCCTGTTCTTTTATATTAAGAGTCCCCATAAAACCATTCAATCATTGGTTAGAGTGTCTGGAAAGTTAATAATGAATGAGAAGTGTGCAGTAGCCACATAAAATGCTACCTTCATAGTCTTTCAAATATGAGAAGTAACTACAGTCTTTCAAGTCTTATCAGCAGACTAAGCTTCAGCTACATTGCCAAATCAGAGGAATCAGTGAAGTCAGCTTTGCAAGGAAAATCCTTTGGTTTTCATTTAGGGTTTTTTGGGACAGGTTTGGAAATAAATTTTTGCAAGACTGTATATTTATCATCCTCTTTAGAAATACTTCCAGTTTCAAAACTCCTAGCTCAGTTTTGTCTGTGCATTTGAGTAGTAGGACATCTGAGAAGAAAGTGACAACACTGACAGCAGTTGTGGATTTTAGACTATCTTGGCCAGACCTTTTCAGTATAACTACATACTACTTATTGCATAACTTGTCACTTATATGTAGTCACTTTATGCTTGAGTAATTTCATGATAAAATTGTAGGATTAATAGTCCACATTGCCCTACTGAAGTGAAAGAACTGAAATGTTTCTTAATCTCAATATTTACAACTGCTGTTTGTTGTATGTGTTACATAAGCCAAACTATAACCTGAAATTTATTATTGAATGCTAGCTTTATATGAAATTATTTTGTTGATGCATATAAGAAGTGCACAAGATTGTTATGAACATGACGTGGAGCCTGTTACCATTAATAAATGAATACCAAAGAGATGTATGTACACCAAAGCAAAGATGATGACCATTCAGTGGGAGGAAAAGTCAGCAGATGCTTTTAAAGATTTTGGTGTGTGGGGAACAGGCTTAGTATGATGTATTTAATGAAGAATTCACTTTGAGGCCAAAGAGGTATGTTTGGTAAACCTGCTTTTTCCTTCCTTTTCTCTCTCTGCAGCTCAGAACACTGGAATCTCAACTTTTTACAGGAATTCGTATGGTGCGCCTGCTGAAGATACCAAACATAACCAGGTAAGTACAGAGACTAAAATGTTAGTGTTCCAGATGGCAAAAGACTGGTGCAACATCTTATATGGAAATGAAAGAAAAATACCAGAAATTTTAAAATATCACAAACAGATTGTTTCCTGTAACATTTTACTATGTCCAAATTAAACACCTGTGTTTGAATATGGGAAATGAAATGAGGTCCTGAAGGTCAGTTACACCTTGATAGAAGTTCTAGAAATAGAAACTAGGGTAGTTATGCTCCTTTGTGCAGTTCTAATATCGGGCCCAAACTTGTAAGATCACTTGTGGGACTGCTAAAAGTAGTGAACTTAAGCAGCCTTTTTCAATCCCTGCATAGTGTTCCATACAGATACTTGTTTTGAACAAATATCACATAGTTTGGGCCATAGCAGTGTGACTGTTCCTGCCATCTTGAGGGAAAACATTACTAACATGCAGAGCAGCGGGATCCACAAAGTGTTCCCACATTGGTGTCTGAGCATCAGTATTCCCAGTGATAACCATGTGAGGAATGACAGGTTACATCATTTTGCAGTCACTAAGTCTGCCCAAAATTACAGAGGTGGCATGAATTGGGAGATAGTCTTCTAGGATAGTCAGCATGTGTTTATACATTTCAGATTTCAATAATGTACCAATTCTAAAATCAGAGATTCACTAGGGATGTCTAAAAAAACAAGTATGGCAACCTTTGGTTAGAAAATTTTTTTCTGCTTATCATAAAGTTTCCAGCTTCAAGGTAACTAGCTGGAATGTACCAACAACACAACATTGTCAATATGAAATGTTGAGGAGGTGTTAAGAAGATGCTTCTGCTTAACAGTAGCAGAACCCATTTTAGGGCACTTTTCTCATGTCAGTGCCCTGAAGACTGTAAATGGTTTTTAAGGATATGGTGTTACTTCTTCCGCTAAATCTCACTTCAGTCAAAAGCAGCTGCAAAATGTTTAGCATCTTTGGAATGTAAATTGATTACATTCAAATTCTTTAAGGCTGAGTTTTGGTCACCAATATTTGCATTATACAGCTGCAAGTTACACACATTGTAGTTATGAAAGTGAAGTGTAAGCCATGCTGTATGAACTACTTTTGACATAAACCAGCATCTTTTGCAGCAGTAATATTAAATAATAAATATATTTTATAATAATAACACTATTAAATAAATGTAAAGAAATAAAATTACAAGGCAGAGCTGTGGAATTAATTCAGCGTTAAAGCAGTGCTTTGAGCAGAAGTTAAGGTAATGCACAATTTTGTATTTTTAGCACAAGAAACATAAGTGAGATTTGCTCCTTCCATCCTGTTGCCTACAATAAGTTGTATCTAACAAGCTATGGGTATTGTTATCTTTCAGGTTTCAGCACAGCCAGTTCCACAGGAGCCCAGCAGAAAAGATTATGAACCATATCAGCCATTTCAGAATTCAACAAGAAACTATGACGAGTCCTTCTTTGAGGACCAAGTGCATCATCGTCCACCTGCAAGTGAATACAACATGCACCTGGGACTAAAGTCAACTGGCAACTATGTCGACTTCTACTCAGCTGCTCGTCCCTATAGTGAACTTAACTATGAAACAAGCCACTATCCAGCCTCTCCCGACTCCTGGGTTTGAGACTTGGGCAGATACAAAAGCTCCAGGAACTGTGCATGTGCATGCATACCACGAGACATTTTTTTCCTGCAAATTTAGTTTGTTAAAGTCTGTTCCATAGGAAGACACAGATAACCAGTATGGGAAAAATTAGGAGATTTTTTTAGAAGGCTAAAAGATATGAAAGCTAAACCTGGGATTAATTAGAAAGAAATATATATATACATATATATATTTTACAGTGTGAGGCCTGTAGAGTCTAAAGTTTAGTGCTGTATAATGAATGTGGCTGAAGGAAGGAGGAAGAACATGACAGTGGATCTGGGTCAAGAGTTAAGCACAAGTTACTGAGCAGCGTACATACTTTATGGGGAACAGCTTCTCACACTTTGTTTAATATCCTCATTCATCGTGAATCTAGGCTTCAAGTTGCATTTGGGGTTTCCTCTGTACAGCAAGATGTTTCTTGCCTTTTGTTAATGCATTGTTGTAAAGTATTTGATGTACATTACAGATAAAAAAAGGTGCATTGTGTATATTACACCAATGCCAAAGTGTTTCTTCATATATGGTTCTAAATATTGCTTCAATTTCAAATTTTGAAAGATGTATGAATTTCCAGTTTTTTGTTTTCTTTTCCCCAGTGCATTTTAACAAAAAAAAAATCAAAAAAAAAAATCAAAAAAAAGGAATATTTAGCAGTATTGTTTGTTCTGATATGTGAATTTGTTTGTGGCAACTAAAACAAAAGGCATTCAGCAGTTTCTGACAATTAACATTCATCATTCCACACTCCTTGTAAACGAAGTGCTTTTTCACTGCCTAAAATTTTAGATGTAGATATTTGAAATAGATTTTTTTCATTTATACCAGTTTTCTTTATGATGATACAGTGTTAAAAGAAAATAAATTACAATTGATCTGTCATCCATATTTGCTAAGAATGTCTATTTCCAAGAACCTACCATACAAATACACATTCTTACTCGTGTGTGTCCACGTATGCATAGTATTCCGTGTGCGTGTGTTTGAGTGTGTGTGTGTTTGTGTGCCGTAAGACTTCTTTTCATCCAATGTTCTCCTTGTTAAGCTTCAATTTTTGTTTGATTTTCTGTTCTTTTAAACAGTGGAAACTCCAGTATGTGCTTTCTCTTACTCACTTCCGTAACCATCAATAGCAATTCAACATTGCTAGGCCACATGCTCACAAAAGAAGGGGTAGCTGATTTTTTTATCACCAACTCCATCGCCCTTAAGTGCCATTTTCTTTAAAACAGCATCTTTTGATCTCCTCTTGTGGAAATTTCACTACTCTCCAGCCACCAACCAGTAAGTGCTCAAGGAAGGCAGAGTTTGATCTTGCCATCTCCCTGAGGTACTAAAAAACTAAGACCCATCAGACTTTAATCTGGACTCTCCATACTCTGTAGACTACAGAAGGGTCCAATTCTTGAACCATTAGGACAATCATTTATTTTAACCCATACCAAAAATAAAACTCAACATCCAGAACACATTCCTCAAATATGAAAATAAAGACCATTTCTGTGCATTTAAAGTGAAATTCTAAAAATTTCAAGGGACCGAGAATTTTGTTGTTTGTTGCTTTTTTTTTAAATTTTAAAAGAAAAGAACAGCTACATAGGCTAGGAGGCCAGAAGAGCTGGTGTATTCATCTTAGCTTTTTATCATGCTGGAAGGAAAAGAAAGAAGCATCTCCTCATTTCTGTGATTGAGGCAACAAACAGTTCAGCATACAGTTTTCAGAGCATAAGACCCACCACTAATGGAGTAGTTGTAAATTGCTTTAATTGCCAATGAGGAATTTGGTTTAGGTTGCAAACATTTCTGTGCTTAGTCACTGTAATAGTTTTAACATCACCTGGCGCACCTCTGGCTGTGCACAGGGGGAGAAGTCTCTCACAAGTCATCACCTGCTCTATAGGATGCAGCCCAAATAGTTCATGCAGGCAGGTTTTGTGATGTAGAATTGGTTTATTGGCAATCTAGGACTATAGTTTAATCTTTTTGGCAGATTTTCCCAGTGTATGATATGTAACCTTTGCTCTTTGTAGTAAATGGGGAAAAAAATAGCATGCAAAAAAATTTTTAAAAAATTTCAGAAAGGGTGGGTGGGAGGGGCACAGTGGGCCAGATGTATAGTGAGGTAGATAAAAATACTATTCATAGTTTTGGACACAGGTTGTTTATATTTTATTTATTACATTGATTTTAATAAGTGACATTTGCAGTGCTCTTTTGAACAAAGCACATTTTCAGTATAAAAACTTTTTTTTAATAAAGAATGTCACTCACAACTGGAAGTTCTTCTGGACTGCCTGACAAACAGCAGGCTGGTGCAGCTCTCCAGGTGCAGGTTTGCCAACAGGCTGAGGGGAATGCATCGTTCTGTTCAAAGTTCTTAGGACGGGAGATTATTGTAAGTTGGATATATTTCCATTCTTCAAACTACTGAAATGCCCACTCCTTCAGCTCCTCTTAGGAATTACTTGGAGTCAAATGTTGACCATTGCTCAAGTGAGAGATTCTAGATTGATGACATGGCAGAAAATACCTTTTGTCTATACTTTGTGTCAGTTTGTTTCCATTTTTCTGTAGCGGCGGGTACTCCGACTGATAACATTCACTCTTGCTGTACTGGGTTTTGAGAAGGTGTTGAATTACCTGGCTTCTTTTCCAGGTTTGGAAATACAACACTGCTGCCATACTGAGCAAGATATGTATGATGCATTCTTTTTAATACCGAGGAAAGTATTGTTGCCTATTGCTGTTCCCTTCATTCTTGTACTAGATCACACACAGAAATAGAGAAGAAACAAAACTGTTCAAAAAAAATGTATAAAATGCAATTGATGTACTGTAAAATGTTGGATTTTTTTTTTTTCTTTTTTTTTTACAAGCTTCGTATTAGAATCTTGTTCAGCTGTGTAGAGCTATATAAATCTCACTGTTTAATTAAATGCTGTTTATGGTCTGGAAGGAATGGTTAACCTATCTCAAGATTTAACAAATTTGCACTAACATGAGCAATATTGATTTGAAAAAAAATAATATGAATTCAATATTTAAAATATAAACTATGATTTTAAAGGTATATTAACACTGAAAGTACATTTTGACAAATAACATATTTAAGCCCAAAATATAAATGGTTATGTCAGATAACACAAAAGAACTATAACAATATAGATTGAGAAAAAAAAAAGTGTTTCACTGTACATGTTGCTAACATGTACAAACTCATATTGACGTATTTTCTATTAATAAATCCTACTGTATTGTGGAGAATTGCTGGTCATAGTGCAGTATGTTTAAATGCAGAAGTTGACTCTGTAGAAGCTGCCCAGCTTCACACAGCAAACAGATCCTTACAATTTAGGTATTTTAATTGGATACCTAACTTACAGTTCTCAGGTCAGTCACTGCCCCACAAGGTTGATGAGCACAACCTGCTCTACATCAACCAGCCAAGGGGAAAGATTTTTGAGAACACCCAGTTCACCTCTGATAATGTCTGCAAGGGCTCAGCTGCCACCACTAGTAGAGTGTGTTTATCTACACCCCGAGAAAAAAACTGAAAACCTCAAAGCTGGTGCCACTGGATGGGAACATGCTGTAAAACATAGTATCTTGGCCACAGGTTGCATTGAGCACAGCCAAGAAACAAAGAGCAAAACATTAATTTACTTGTGCACTGCTGGAAGACCCAGCACACAATGCATATAAAGGCTCAGGAATAATTGTTTCCCAGGTTCCATGAGCTTGCAGAAGTGTCTCGCCAGGAGACTTGCAAATCAAATCAGAAATGCTGACTTCTTTCTATACCTTGGCACAGCACAGGATGTGCATGCCAGTGCATGGCAAAGGAGGCTTTCTCATCTCCTCTGTTGCTGTTATTCATCCTCTCCTGCCAGCAGACAGAAAGAGCCATCAGTTTAGTTACTGCTTGTATCGTGAGTGGGAGAGATGGAGACAGCAATCCTGAATCAGGGGGAGGAAACAGAAGGGCCTAAAAATATACTCAGAGTTTGTGCGTGAATACAGATCCATACCTGTAATTAGAGTGAAATTGACCCAACAAGAGATTTTATGGAGCAGTATCTTCAAATATTACCATCAAGTTAATGTAATGAACATTTCATAGTAACAGTGTGATGCATGCAAAGCTTTATGCTAGAAAAGTGGGAGGGAGCAGCAGAGAGAAGTCACTGGTCACCACTGGGCACTTCTAGCTTCAACCAGTAGGTGTTGGGCATGTGGGCAGAGACTGCTTCTTACTGCTGTGAAGGAGAGGGGAGAGGGATGACTCCTGAGAAAAAACTTTAGGTCCAAGCCTTTCAGACTTGGTCAAAACAACATCAGCTTAAACAGAGACCATTTTCTCCAAACTTGCCCCTTGCCCCACCATCCTCAGTGGCAGAGCGAGGTTCCCCCTAGCAGACACATGGACATGGTGCATATGGTGGGAAATCCTGTCAAGGGCCCAGCTTGCAAAGGCCCTTTTCTCTCAGCTGGAAAATACCTGGTAAAGGTGTGTGTCTGACAGCTGCCAGAGTCAGGGCTGAGTTTGTCAAGCAGCTGCAGCCACTTTCAATTTGAAGTCTAGCATTTTCCCTGGAGGACAGATGGGCACCAACATCTGCCAAAGAACTGTGCAGTCCTGGCTCTTTCCCAGGGACTGGACAGTTTCTAAATAGCAGCCTAAAGTCAGCTTCAGACATTTAGGCTGAAAGAGGGAGATTTGAATTTCATCCCCAGACAAGGGGGCTGAAGCCTGTAAGGAGAGGGACGTCCCCACCTTCCAGGCTATTCTAAAATGCAAGTGAGAAGAGCTGTACTGGCTATCACACACCTTTTGATGTCACCTTTTGGTGACCTGTGTTAGGAGCACTTGTTTCTACTTCTTCTTCCCAGTGCTCCCCCTTGGTTTTGCACCATCTCAACTGGGACACATCAGTCAAAAGAGCAGCACACCACAGTCCTCTGCAAGTTCAGCAAGGCACATGCATGGTGCTAGTCAGGTGCTAGTCAGCTCTCACGGGATATTATGCCAATTCATTATTCTTAAACCTAATTCTCAATCAGACTCGCTTTAGTATTTTTAATGCAATATTAAAAGCAGTTTCCTTCCTCTGTGAGCATTGGTACTGCTTTACCACAAAAAATGCATGCTAAACTCTTCCAACCTGTCAGTGTTTAGCTTACACCAAATTTCAAAGCCCATGGAAGACCCTGGAAAAATTTCCACCATCTCCACCGGGCCCAAGTAATAACAGGTGAAGAATTGGTACAACCTTCTCAAAGGATGTGCACATCAAGGTCACTCTTGCCAGCATATCAAAGGCTGCAATTTCTAATAGCTAACAGGAGGAAAATTATTTGCTAGTACCTGTGTGTCAAAATTTACTCCAAGAGCCTTTGCCTCTCTGCACTTTTACTTTCACTACTTTCAGAAGTGTGACATAGATAAAAAGTACTCACAGTGACTAATAGCTGCAGTTAATTTCATAGTTGGATGAGTAGTTTCAGACACGGAAATACCTTTCTTTTCCATGCAGGTAAAATCTGAAACTTGCCACTTAACCTAGGCAAGCAAAATAGCAGTGGTTTGCTGATTCATTATTCTTCACAAATGTAATTAAAATAATAACTCTGGCTGTGGGGACTGATTTTTACATTATTTATTTATTTAACGTTAATGTTACATAGGCAGAAGATGTTGATGACTAAACATCAAGGCAGTAACTTGTTTAATAGAATCAAGTCTGAAGAGAAAATTTGTGGCATAGAATTCAAGCACTGTGTGCAGACACAACCAGTCACTACCTTTGTCATCAAGGGAGAGAGAATAAAAGAACCTCTACCACCATTTGAAGCCTAACATCTATAGCAAATATAAGTCCATTTTGAAAAAGACTTCTACTCTTTCCCTCTGAAAAACTACACCAAAAACAAACAAACAAACAAACAAACAAACAAAAAAACACCACCCCAAAACCTCTCAACCTTTTCCTCAAGCTACCCTGGGTTTGATTTTTTTATTGGGGTGGCAGGAAGTAAGGAGAATTTGCACTATATGCAATATTTGAACAATATGTTGTGTTGCTTTTGTTTCTGCCTAAGGTCTTTGGATGTGGGCAAGAGCACCACCCACTGTAGTACTGTAGTAGCATTAAGCAAATCAAAATATGCCAAACAGCAGCTGCATTGCCAAATGTGACAGCCACCACTTCCAATACTCTGGCTACCACTGCAGGCTTGTCATCATGGGAAAGAAAAGAGAATGTCAGCCTCCTGTTACACAGATGCACCAGCACTCAGTCAAGAGTGAGAGATTGAGCTGTGGAAAAACCGCTAGGAAAAGACAGGCTGCCTGTGGGCTGTCCTCTGCCACAGGGCTGAGTGGGACAAGCTGTGGCAGTGCATGAGGCACAGCCTTTGGGAGCACCATGGGCAAGAGGATGTGGGATCAAGGGAGGGCACAGTGGGCAAAATTGGGCATCTTAGACCTCGGCGGGGCACAAGTGCTGGGGCCAAGGAGCTAGTGCTGGACAGAGAGTGCTGAGGATGCTGCAGCTTCAAGAGACTCAGAGCTGACAAGGCACAGCTGCCTTTGCTCCTGCAGCTCAGCCAGGGACCTTCCTGTCCAGATTTTTGCTTTACTTTCAGATAGAATTGTTTAAGAGGTGACTTGTTCGGTTTTTACTTCTTCTGGTCCTTTTTGTAGCAGTACAACACTTCATAGAATCACGAATGGTTGAAGGGACCTTAAAGATCACCTCTTATGGGAAGGGACACTTTACACTAGACTAGGTTTCTCAGAGCCCCATCCAGCCTGGCCTTAAACACTTTCAGGGACTGGACATTCACAACTTCTCTGGGCAACCTGTCCCAGTGTCTCACCACCCTCACAGTGAAGAATTTCTTCTAACAACTAATCTAAATCTCCTGTATTTTGGTTTAATACCGCTCCACTTGCCCCATCACTGTCTGCCTTTAGTTTAAATGGTTTAAGAGCTTACCTTTTGGGTTTGTTTTGCTCTCTTTAGTTTCTTTGTAGGAATGCAGCAGTTTTATGGTCCACTCTG